GGGCTTAATCCCCGCCAGTCGCCTGCCGAACTCCTTCAGATCCGCCCGGGGGGGTTCTACTAATTCCGTTGTTTCCCCCTGCTTCCGGCTCACCCCGTACAGCATATCGCGGATCAGGTGCTTGCACAGGTTTTCCGGCCCGCAGTGCAGAAAGTCGCTGCATACGTCAAGCACTAGGTGCAGACCGTATGCGGCCCACAAAATTAGCAACATGCTAAACCCGATGATGCCGGTCCGGTGCCCAATTTCCGCGCGCTCCGCTTTTGTTTCCGCCCCCAGCTGCTCGAGCATGGCCGCCGCCACCTCGTCCATTGTCTTCGGGACGCATCCGTCGCGGGCGAGTCGGCGGCCGTCCGTGTAGACCAGCTTTCCGTCCACGTAGCTGCCGACATGCTTGCAGCCCCTTGATACGTGAAAACCCCCGAGCTTGAACTTTACCATGTCCGCAAGCGCCGGAAGATCGGAGAAGACGCTGGAGATCATCATCCGAATTCTGACCGGTCCGCTCCTAGGGGGGACATGGGCGCTTATCTCTTGGGGGGGAAGGGCGTAGTCAAGTTCGACGCCCTCGATGAACAGCCTCAGGGCGTCGAGGACAAGGACCAGCATGAAGGCATCGTAGCTGTCGGGCCCGGGGACCATCTGCATCTTCTGGGGGTACATGACAGGCCACAGCCAATCTCGCTGCCTTGTGCAGGGTCAGCTTCGACACTGTCATCGGGAAGATGTCCATAATGCAGCTCGACTTGTTTGAAGTGCTCGCCGCAGGAAACCCGTCCAGGTGAAGTCCGAGCTTCAGGTTCCTTGGATCCCCCCGTTTTTGGAGCTCTTCCAAAGTGGCCACGACTGCACTCTTGCAGATCGGACACCGAGTTTCGAAGCGCTTCCGTTCGGCACACCACATCTGGGGGGTCGGTCGGGTGAACCACGGGGGTCGAAAATTTTGGGCGCAATACACGTTCCGTGCTTTGCAGCACTCACTGCATCTCAAGGGCAAGAGGAAGCTGGACTGGGGGTCGAAGAAAGCGGCGTCGTCTCGCCACCTCTCCCCGTCCCAGACTTCGGACTGCGGCTCGTGTACCCCCCCTTTCGGTTGCCCCAACCAGTGGTCTCGCTCGCCCCAAGCCCCTCTGACCGTGGCGTCCTTGCACCCCTCGACCGTGGTTAGCTTTGCGCGAGCATGCAGCTCGGGGGAGATGAAGGGGAGTTCAAAGGCATCCCGGCGCAAGAACCCGCAGTCGGGGCACTTTTCTTGGTGTTCGGGGCAGTCGCGCCACGCTGGCCTGCCTGGTCGGTCTTCGCACTCGGGGCACGGGGTGGACTTGTTGTCCTCTGAACTGGGTGCAAAAAGATGCCAGTGGCCCTTGTCTTGCCCTTTCTCGGGGCCGGGGTGCCAGCGGTACGTTTGGACTTCTCCAAGTAGACGTGACGACCTTGCGAGGTAGTTCGTCACCTGCAAAAGAAGAGGAGTGCACCTTTTCAGCACCGTTTCAGCTGCAGTTGCCGAATTGGCATTCGAGTGATTGGTTCTGAAATCTGTACAGATGCGTTTCACGGTGTTTTCTGTAGAAGTGATACGAGGGGCGGAGTTTCAGATGCTGGAGCTGGGACCGTAAACTCTGACCAAAAGGGGTGCAATTGAGATAGGAAAGACAGAAAGTCGATATCAGGGTTTGGAAGGTTCTGATGCCAGTGTGGGAAGCGCTGACGTCAGCAAAGATCGAGCTGTTTGGAGAGAGGCTTAAGATGGGAGCCAGATTTTGAACTGAAGCGCCGGATTCAAAACCTTTCGGACTTCAGATCTGAAACGCGGAGTACGTGTGTTCGGTTCAACGCCCTCTTAAAAATTATCAAGGTCGAAGAATTAAAAAGTGGGTAAGTGTTTTTCGGTTAGCTGCGGAACCTGGGGTACTTTGCCAGACATGGCTGGGCCGTACCTGGCGAAGAGGGATTTTGTGAACAGTCGGTTTAGAGGTTTCGATTGAGAAATAGGGTCGGCCGAAGGTTGGAGTCTGTAAGGAAGACATGAAAGTACGGAAAATGATGGTCGGACGAAGTCCGTCTCAGAGTGGATCGTGCTGACGTCATCAAAAACACGGCTGTGTCAAACAGGGGGGCTGAAAAGCATGTTGACAAAACGGGTCCCGCTTTGTACGGAAACGAACGGCCAAGAGATTTAGGGTGATGTATGTCTGGAACAACCATCCAGAAACTTGCATTCAATTAAAGTTTCGAATCGTTTCGTCCGGTAATCGGATCAAAAAACGGGTCTGCGCAGAGGGTTAACTAAGAGCTACTCTGCCAGCTCGGGGGGGACGAAAAGAAGGTTCTCGGAGGTGATTAACGGACAAGAAAATCAGGGGGTTGAGCATTTGGACACCACAGCGGATTTAGAAGATTTGATTCAGCTGGGAGCGTGGGTTATCGAGCCAAAAATAGGGTTCGGGCACGTGGCACAGACTGCGGAAAAAGAGAAAGGAGACAAAAGTAGGTGTTTTGAAACGGGTTTTCGGAAGCTGGTTGGAGGTGGACCTGGCGAAGTTAAGTAAGTCGTCAAAAGGGCCACAAGAAGGCTTTTTGGGGAATAGGAACTGGGGATGAGAAGAGCGCAAAGAGTGCAAAGAGTGCAAAAGCTTCTTAGATTCTACGTGGCAGATGCAAAGAAGACGGGTCGAGAAGAGTCACAAAACAGGGTTTTCAGGTCGTTGGCTTTGTCGGTTAAGCTGCTTTCAACTAGAGAGGTACGGGCAAGAGCTCAAACACTACTCGCTGATGGACTTCACTAGGACACAACCAGGCAATATTGACTACAGATGTTGCAGCATCTATATATATGTATTATTGCCTCTTCACACGGACACAAGGACAGTAGGGGCCTACCTGGTCATGAGACTGTGGCAGATTCAGCCTGTCCACCGTTTCCTTCCATCGAGGGTCGATGGCTGCGGCGATAGAGTTGGTCCTAGAGAAGCATAGCTTCACAAGCTTGTCCATGATTTCGTTGCTAAGACCTGCTTTGTCTCCAATCTTCACCAAGTCAACCAGACAGTCCATGAGTTTTAGCTCTACTTCAGACACAGGAGCGCCTTGCGCTGGTCCGTTTCCATGCGATTCTGAGTCATCTGCATACTCGAAGTCTGGTAGTTGCACGCCTGTGAACCAGCTGCCAATGCTTGCCCGTTCTCCTGCAACGCTTTCAGCCCGCCTGCTGCTTCCAGATTCTGACTCAGAAGGATTGGGCCTGCTGCTTTCCCGTCTTTTCTCTTCATGACAAGCCTGATCTGCAGGATCCAGGCAACTCGCCCCATCAATATCACCCGACCCCCAATCTTGATCTTCTGAGCCCCCTTGCAGCTGCTCCAAGCGTGCTGCAGTGGCAACATCTGCATGAGCCCTGCATGAGCTGTCGAGTGCAAGGTGCTTTCTTCTTGCGGAAGCGCAAATATACCGTCCTCCTCCCGGAGCAGCCCCACTCCCTCGCGATGTGCAAAACTTACATGTGCACAGCACTTTGCCCTCTGAGTTGATAGGCTCTAGACGAAGCATTTTCCTAGTGATGTATCATTCCATAGTCACCATCGAACTATCAAATTTGTCTCCAGATTGATTCAATTCTGCGTGCTTTTTAATCTTCTGTCGTGAATGAGACTTGCAGTACCCGAATGCGTTCTGCATGACCTTGAAGCGCTGCTGCTTGAACATGTGTGGCCTGACCTCCAAAGCCGGCCGCTTTCCTTAGTTCTTTCCTTCATCTTCTGTTCTCCGATCATCTTTTGTTCTCTGATGCGCGCATGCTCTGTGCTTTGAATTTTGAATTCTCATGTGCTTTGAGTCGCTCGAAAGATGTGTCACGATCGTCAAGCGATCGTCAAGCGACAATCTAAGGGTTAATCTAAACCCGATCTTGCATGATTTCCGTTTTAGCATGCACGCCGCTTCGATACCATATATATGCGGTTGGTTAAGTCTTAACCGCATTTAGGACCGCAAAAATCGGCAGCAAGAACCGAAGTTCGGAATTTGGGAGAGTCGTACGTGTGTCTTGTCAAACTGTGTAGACTGCCTTCAAAAGCCCGCGAGAAAGTTTGAAAGAGCGTGGTTTCTAAGAGTAAAATTGCATCTATTGCAAGTGACTGCTTCGTTTTCTGCATGCAGCACAGCTTCTTCTTTGCGACATCTCAAAGAGGACCTGCTCGAGGCATCTGCAAGACAACGAAGCAGGTCCGTGCATGAGACCTTTGCTGTCAAGGCAACTGCGCAAGGTCAAACAGGTAGAGCAATGAGTCGCATACGTGGTCTAAGTGCGCAAGAGTTTGCAGAGGAGGTTTCAAAAGAGTTGGAGAGTGACTTGTATACCAAATACATCCTCGAAGAAGCAATTAGTGGGAGAGTCTTCTTGGCGCAGGGACCAGAAGGGGACGCGCTTGTTGAAGATTTCAAAGATCTGGACAGCGGGTCTGAGATAAAAAGAGGACACAAACTTCTTCTGAAAGATCTGAGAAAGTCGTGGCTTTTATCAGAAGCATCCAATGGAGGCACAGGTACCGCTCGTACTGCTGGGGACACTCTGACAAGAGACGGAGGAGGCCAGGCAGTCAATCTGCAGAAAGGCATCCAAGGGAGCACTGGTATGAGAGAAAGCATGTCAGAGAACTTGACTCAACAAGTAGACGTTTCAGAGCGGGGAAACAATACTCAGAGTAGGTCGCAAAGCAGAGCAGCACCGAGCTCGCCAGTGACTGCATCCAAGCTTTTCAAAACACTGTGGCACAGCAAGAAGTATACAGCGGTTGTGGGGAAGCACGGCGTCAGGAGGCTGCAGAGCTTTCATGCTCGTGTGGTCAGCCGTGTTGCAGCGGATCTGGGATTGAGTGATTACATGCCTAATGAAACGAAGGCGAAAGAGACTCCTTCAGAAGAAGAATTGACGAGGTTGAGGTCCATCAACCTGAAGAAGAATCCAAAGGACCAAGAATGGAGAGACAAGATCTTTGATTCAATTCTAGAAGATGACGAGCACGCTGGTGAGATTGTAGGTTTGGACGGCACAGTCTACAAGTGGCCTAAAGGTAAGCCAACGTTTGCTCTGAGCATCATATGGCGTTAGACGAATTCGCAGAACGGATTCGAAATCGTACGTACACCTCCATTGTTGAAAATATTCTCCGTTCTGCTCATTCTTTGTTTTAAGATCAACCAGTCCCAAGAGTAGATTGCAGAGGGTTTTGTGACTGCTTGAGGAGCTTTGTGTTACAATCAGCTTCTTGAAACAAGTGAGATTTGTCATGCTTTCTAGTAACAAGCAACTTGTCTAATTGATTTGATCACAGTGCTTGTAAGCAAGGGTTTTATTGCAGTGCATGTAACTTTGACGCTCAAGCGTACAGTATCACTTGCAGCTTGCTACAACTCCACATTCACCGCCATCATTGACGACCTGAAAAAGAAGCTGGTGCACGCGGACCGTTACAAGAAGAGCCAGGCTGACAAGCTGAAACGCTACCACGACCGCAAGCAACTAAAGGTAGGGAAGCGGCCATCACATAAACTGCTGCGTTGTTCTCATGCTGCGAAGAAGGTCTGCAAAGATTCAAATCGCAATCCCAGTTTCTGCGTGCCACAATCTCTTTTTATGACAGTTCAATTACTCAAAGACTGATAAGTTATAAGGCTTCTTTGATTTGTTTGCTGTCTAATTCGCTGTGCTATTGTGTTTCTATAGACACATCTGACGTGTTCGAGCCAGTTTGCCTGATCTTTCCACCAGAATGAACTTAAGCGCTGGCTGTTTCGTGGCTGCAGAAGCGAGCTCAAGCTGGAAAAGATGGCGCTCCGGAAATGCAGGAGAAGCCCCATCATTGCAACGAGAATGAATCATCGAAGGTCAGTGTGCGAAGCCAATCAGCGAGGTGTGAATACCCCGCAGACCTGTGATTATGCATAGGTGTGATCAGGCAAAGGTTTGATCGGATACGTCACATGCCTATGTGCATGCGCCACAAGCAAACCTGTGGCGTATTCACATTACGTGTCTTGCCTGTGCAAAAACGATTGTAGAAGATGTCCAAGTTCATATTGACCAAAGATACTCTCGCTCTGTTCCACTCTCTTGCTTGATCTCGTCATTCATCCAAAGCCGTTCACGTTGCAGGACCAATCGTGCGGAAATCCGGATCCCGAGAGTCAAGAGGCCATGAATCTTCCCCCATCGCATGCTGACAAGAACGAACCCCTTGAGGTCAGGGATTTTTCGACTTTCGCCACGTCACTATCCGACCTGCTCAGCACATGTATCTCGAAGTGTCTTCAACTTGCTTGGTCGACTTTGCTTCAATAGGCAATATCCTTCAAGAAGCTTCTGAGAACCTGAATGCTCTACGGTTTTATTTGAGGACCTCGCGCGATCGTGGTTTATGATGAAGCAGGTGCTCTTCGTAGACAACGGCCTCGTCCACTGCAGATTTGCGCTTGCTGAGACATGCTGGCAAACCTGAACTCGCTATGTGTACAGGAGCCGGTGCCCGATGCAGAAAACAGCGGATCCGTTTCGCCTGACAGCGCGAACTTCCCTGACAAAGCGTTGAACACCGAGTCTTCTCCTCCAGACTAGGTGAGTGGGGCAGATTTGCGCCAGAATCCTGAAAGTGTCTGGTACCAGAACCTTCAAACCGTGAAACCTTCGAGAAATTCTTGCTCTTTCTGGCACCGTGGTGCCAAAACCTTCCACGTTTTTGGCAGACTTGTACTGGAGCTAAACTTTTAAAATTTCTGGCAGCTTTGAAACGGAAGCTTTGAAGATTTTGTGTTTGCGTCTCAATCAAAGGTGGATATTGAGGCGGTGGTTTAAAGTCAGGGCTTAGAGCTCAGGGCTGCAAATCTGAAGTGCTGTTTCCGGGGTTGCGTTGACTCTCCGTTAGAAAAATGTATTGAAGATTGAAAGTAACGAATGATTGTCTTCGAAGCAGGTACACCTCTCTGCGGCAACCCAGCGCTCAAACGAATCGGCTGTACGAATCGACCTCGAAAAAGCACCACGTGCTCCGGCTAGCGACGCAGGCAAGACAACGGTAAGTTGGCACTTGTCACTTTCCAAAAAGCGCGCATGCCATTTTTGTACGATCTTCTCTTGTACATGTCTCCGCAGACTTTATTTGCAGATCTGCAAGTCTTTAAACTTCCCTAATTTACCTCTCCATTCGACGTCTCCTGAACCCGAAAAAGCTAACCCGAAAACCGCGTTCTACGACCTTCCGTCCCCCTTCCGTCTCTAACATCCAGCTTTTGCAACACCCGCCACGTGTCCGTTTGGCTATCCACGTCCACTCCGACTCCGATTTCCTGCTTTCCGAAACTTCTCTGTACTCCGATCATTATCGAAGACTTGAAAAGCCGCCCTGACCACCCTTAACCCGCTTCAAAACACTTGTTTTTGCCTCTTTCTCCATTTTCCGCATACTGCGCCGCCACGTGTCCCCACCCTACTCTTGACCGGAAAACCCAAGCCCCCGATTTAATTGAACCTTCTTGATCCGATTATGGTGATAAAATGCTTAAACCTCTCTTTTTCACTCCGTTAAGCACCCCCGAAAATCACCTTTTAGACACCTCCAGCCAGACTCATCTCAAAATAACCCTCTTTGCAGACCCAATTTTAGACGCAAATTTTAGCCGTTTTGTCTCGAGAGTCCAGACCTGTATTTCCGTCGGCCACACACACACATTATTCTAAATTGCCTTACCCAGGAATTCCGGAAATTGCGCGACCCGTTATGTCTGCTTGCTTTCCAGCCCCCCAACTGACACAGCCCTCGTTTTGATGACGTCAGCACACTCCATTTTGAGATCTGCTTCGCCTGACCGCCATCTTCTGCACTTCAGAGCCTTCTCTTTTCATTTTCCTCGTTAGCAGATGCTGTCTCGCGTCCAAACCCCTAACCGAGCCACTAACGAAATCCTTCTTTCCCAGGCACGGCGTAGACATGCCTGGCAAAGAAACCCCTGCTTTGCGGCTAACCAACGAGATTTCAATAACCACTTTTTGATTCGCCACTGTATCAACGTTTTTGAAGACAATGAAGAAAACATATCTCGCTTACCAGATCCCAAACCAAAAGGTTTTGAGCCCTGCGCCTCAGTTCAAAAGTCCCTTCCTTTTTCAGCCAGCATTTAAGCACTGGCTGCTGTCTTTGACTCACTACAGTCTTTTCCTATTGCAGCCAAAGCCGAAAACGAGCTGCTCGTTAGACACGTGCTCGTCGACGGAGCGGCCTTCAGGTTACTGCCAGACGTGTCTTGAGCCGGTGCACAAGGAGTGCATGCAGACGCTATTGACAAAGCTGTACGGAGTTGCGAACTACGACGGGGACCTGCTCTACTGCGCCAACCATCACAGCAACTTTGGCTTCCGACAGGTCAGTTCTGGGCATCTGGGAGGGGTCTGGGAGGTGTTTTCTTGTTCTCATGCTTAGCAACATAGGTTATATGCTCGGCTTTATGCTTGGACTGGCAAACCATGTCATAGGCACAGATAGGGTTCTTTTTCGTGCTCAGGTTAGAAAAGGCTCAGGTTTACCGTTCGGGATTTCAACTCGGGTGTCTGCATGTGACCCTGGTTGCAGTTTCATGTTTGATTTGGCTGTCGGCTCCGATTATCTGGTCGGGTTCCCTTCTGGGTCATCTGCACGGGTGTCGGGCTCATTTTGAAACTATCTCTTGGTCTGGTTTGAATCATCTACAGTGTTCTGCCCGGGTTTCCAATCCAAATAATTTGCTCGAGTTTCCTGCTCGCATTCGAAACAAACTCAGGTTTGCTTGGTCCGCTTTCCTTCTTGGATTTTGAATGAACGTCATCCGCACGGGGTTTAGTCTCCGGTTTTCGGCGCTCGTTTTAGATGGTTTTCTGGTCGGTTTTTCAGCTCGGGCCAGCTTCTCAAATAGGAGTCGGTTCATTAGCACGGGTTACTAGCTCCGGTTTCCCGCTCAACTTTTCAGTTGATATGCTCGGATACTGCCTGATTTGCACGTCCACTTCAATTTCTTTTCAGGGACTGGGCGGAAAGTGCACCTTGCCAGCGTGCGCAATGGCAGGAAAACCCACGCAGCACCGGTGCGACGTTTGCAAGGAGCCGGTGCACAACCTGTGCTTCCAAGGCTTCCTTCGCGAGGTGTACAACGTGGAATGCTACGACGGCGGCCGTTTTGCGTGCCAAGAACATGCCGGCGCCTTGGGCTTTGAGAAGGTGACCGCCCAAGGCTTTTTTTGCCCCCATGTGAAGTGATTAGACCGCTCTTGATTTCCTTCTTTGAGGCCGAATAAATGAGTGCGCGCGCGCGCGCGGCTGTCGATCTGCGCCATCGATTCTCGGCTTCTGAATCACGGTCCTTTTGGCAAGTTCTTTTGGCGCGTCTTAAGTCGCGGGCTTTGACAGAAACCAATGCTTCCCTTTTTCATGGCCGACTGAATCTGAGATAAGTGCGCGCGCACGCGGCTGTCGATCTGCGCCATCGATTATTTGATTGTGGATGACGTTCCTTTCAAAATATTTCTGCGCGTCTCAGAGTTGCGGGCTTTTGGCAAAGACCGGTGATTCCCTTCTTCAAGGCCGGCTCAATTTGAGACGAGTGCGCGCGCGCGCGTGGCTGTTGATCTGCGCCGTCAATCCTCCGCTTTTGAACGGTCACGGTCCTTTCCAGTTCTTTCTGCACGTCTTTATTAACATTCGCTGGCTTTCGTCAGAAACCGATGACTCCCTTCTTCAAACCGACTGAAATTGAGACGAGTGCGCGCGCGCACGGGCGGCTATCGAACTGCGCCATCGAAGGCTCCGGTTCCGAGTCCTTTCTTTTTGCCTCTTTTAAGTCGCGACTTTTTGCCAAACATCGGCATTCAGGTCCTGCGCTTTTGTGCGCGCTTCGGCTCGTCTCGGAAAAAAAGGAGGAATGGATATCCTGACGCTGAGAGTGTTTCACATCGTTCTGAGTCTTTCTGTGCAGGCATCTGGCCAACACCGATCGAGCCCCCAGAACAAGACGTCAGCGGATCTCTGCGCGGAGGCGCTGATCAACCAGGCAGCGCAGCAGGCAGCTCGCCCGGCTGCGGTCCTCTCAGGGTCTGCGCTCTCGCCCCCCCGGGGTGTGTCGGCTGCCGGAAAGGGTTCGGAGGAGCGCGTGAAAGCTGGCGAGGGGGAACGTTTAGAGGAGCGCGAGGAGAAGGGAAAGCTGGACGAGACGAAGAAGGGGTCCGCGAAGCGGAAGGGCAGCCAGGGCGATCGGGAGAAGAACAAGAAGAAGCGCGCGGCGGGTGTTTCCCCCGTTAACGAAGAGCCAAACGAGCAGGACGAATCAGGAGGCCCCAGCCAAAAGAACAAGGAACCGCCAACGGATCAGCCGGTTGAGGAAACCCAAGCCGTGCGGCAGTCGAACCGGGCGCCCAAGATGAACCGGATGATTCACAACGACAGTTACGTGGTGAACTCCAAGCCGGCAGCGGCAGGAACCGACACTCGACAGAAGACCCGGGAGCAGAGCAAGGCTGGGGCCAAGAAGAAGCGCAAGTCGGACGAGGACAGCGAGGAGTCGCTGAGTCTTTCGGGCTCCGCAATCGAGTCGTCGGAAGAGGAGGACTCCGATGCAGAGGCGACGTCAGATCTGCCGATTGGGGGCGCCTTCGAGGACAAGGACGAGAAGTTGCACCCGTTGATGGTCGACAACTACCAGATTATCGCGATGACCGCCCTGGAAGTTAACGCATCATACCAGGTAAAGCTCATTGCCCATCGAAACGGCCAGAAGTGTCACCTCGACAAGGGTTGCAGCAAGACCTAGCCTGGAGAACCGTGAACTTCGTGGTCGACTGATATCGATTTGTTTCCTTAAAAAGTACTTCGGAATGACGGTATTTTCAGTGCCCACACCAACTTCACTTGAGCACAATTACAAGCCGTCGGGATGTTTTATAGAGCGAGGTCCGAGTTTCGTTCTGGTACTGCTATCAGACCCAGTCCCAGTCGTGTTCCGGTCGGAAGCCGTTCCGATTCCGGTCGAGTTCCATTCTGAATCGGTTCCGGTCTAGATTCCATTCCGATTCGTGCTTCGGTCTGGTCGAAAATCTCTTCAATCTGACCTTCTTTCCGGTCTGATCGACGGTCTCGCTCTTGTCCGTTCCGGTCTGATTCCGTTTCGATCTGGTTCCACTCAGAATTCCGCTCCAATCTGAGATCCATTCCAGTCTTATCTTAGTTTCGTTACACTTCAGTTGCTATTCCGATTCCGATTCCGATTCTGGTCAAAATCGTGTTCCGATCTAAAATCGATTCCGTTCCGAGCCCGTTCCAATTCCGGTCTCGTTCCGTTCTCATTCCGTTTCTGACCCGGTCTCGTTCCGTTCTGACTTTTTCTGTCCCGGTCTCGTTTCGGTCTCAACCCGTTCCGGTCCCGGTCTCGTTCCCTTCTGACTCCATTCCAGTTCCGATTCGATCTTGCAAAATTGAGTGGGCTTTGTGAAGCATAATTTGGCGTGAATCGATGAAGTGCCGTCGCAATGTCTTCCTCATAGTGCAGGGTGTTGCACGTGATACGCACAAACACATCTGAATCCAACATCCGCTTTTTCTCGAGCGGGTTACCTTACGAGGACCACAGTGTTTGGAGTACGAGGCTACCCTTTCTTGACTACAGTCGATCGCTTCTGTTCGCAGCTGACCTCCAGAGCGCTCCAGAAGGCGATCAACCGGCTCAAGCTACCGGGCATCTCGAAGTCCCCCGATCTGACGGGCTTCAACCAGAACTACCTCCTGAAGCTTCTGGGCGAGGGGCTCATCAAGAAGAAGAAGGTCGTCATCAAGAACCGGAAGTGGCGGGAGGAAGGCACCGTATTGGACCCTGCTGATGTCCGGGTTCGCTTCTGATCAGGTTGGTGAATCAATTTTGTCATTTAGGGTCCGGAATCTAAGGTGTCTGTGACAGTCAAGTGCACTCCACGGCGGCGTGCTGCTTTCAATACTGTAGCGCTGGTAACAACAGGGCAACGAAAGTCCTTGTTTTCAACTTTTCACTGACTCCTTATGTGTTTATTGAACAGAGTAGTCTAGACAGTGTGCAACGCGATATGCCGATCACATTTGTGATGGCGTGGCAAGAAAGTCTTTCGTGCGTTCGACCTAGCTAACTCCTGATCGGCGTTCTGCATGCAGGTTGACTCGGAGGCATCATGCGTCACGCAAGACTCGGCATTCGCAAGTTTGATTTCCGAGTTGAGAAGTCAGCAGTGCAGACGACGAGGTAGCGGGGCGCATAGCGATCAGAAGTTAGAGCACAGCAGAATTGAACCAGCACAAAGGTTCAGTTGGACATAGTGTATTGCAGCGGGCGCATAGTGACACAGCATAGCCTAAGTACTAGACGGACCGTAAGTCTTTCAAACTGTCACTAAGTTAATTGACTGTTGTTCCCTCTTTTACATTCTCGGATTCATCTCGTCCTGCTCTTTCCGATCTATCATCGGTTCATCATATGACGTCATCACGTCGGTGACGTGGCGCCCGTCAATGCTTATTGCCCGATCATATATGATGCATTCCCCGGTCTAGTTGCCCGGTCTTGAACGGAGGCTGCCCGGTTGTGCTGCCCGCTCATCAGTCGCCCTGCCCGGACGTGCGGAAAGCCCCTGCCCGGCGTCGCTGCCCGGGATCCGGCCGCTCCTGCCCGGCCTTGTACCCGTGCACGAGATGAGCCCTTCCCCGGCCTGCTTGCCCGGTGATGTTTGCCCGATCACCGGGCAGTGCGCTACCCTGCCCCGACTTCGGCCGATGACCGGGCAGGAGGCCGGGGAACGCGTTGCCCGGCCTCCTGCCCGTTAACGGGCAAACCGTCTTTCCTTCCTGTGTAAGCTGGCCTCGTTGAACTTAAGCGGCCCGTTTCTCCGGAAAGGATACACGAGGGCTTCAGAGACGGTGGCATGCACAACGCTCCTCTTGGGGACCAGCCCACTTAGAGTCATCTTCGTCCAAAGAGCTTCTTGAAGTTTCTCGTTGTGGAGTATTTATTTTAACAGCAGATGAATCCAGCAAGTAATGTTAGAGGCGTCGCATCCAAGCACGCCGGCTGGGTATGCAGATTAGACACTGGCCAGGTCCATTGCAGTGAGTACTCGATCTCCGACTGTGCTCTGATGCCAGACGAGAATGGAGCGTTCTGGGAACAACCCGCGTCGACTAGGTCAGCCGGAGACGGCGTGTGTAAAAGGTGGTATCTTGCGGCGTCCGGGAGAGTTTTGCTTGGCATGTATGATTGCCACAAGTTGAGCAGATACTCGTCTCTACCGCAACAGTTCTGCAATAGATTTGCCCCTACTCACAGTGCGAGTACGCAAATTCAACAGTCTCAAGAAAATTTGTGCTCCCGTCACCTATTCTTTCTTGGCTGACTTCAGCGTTCGCAATCAGTCATCGTCTTCTTTCTGAAACGCGCTGCGCTTTCTTGTATCTGGTGCACAAGCAGAAACGTCCAGGCCACACGCTGACCACGAATGATTGTTTTAATCCCTGATCAGGCCCGAATGCAGATACGAGAGCTTCTTATAGGTGTGGAAACGAAAAAAAGTTACGACAACGTGACTCCGTCAGGCCGTTGATGGAGATCTGAAGCGTGTCAATTTAACAGCGTCCGTCTAATCTGAGCCGCATGTCATGAAGGAAGCTAGATGAGTTTCGAAGAGGCATCTTTACAGGAAAAGCAGGCCAGACAAAGTTGTTGGAGAAAATCTTCGCCGAGCCTAGCCGTCAACAAGTTGGATCGCGCCGCGCGGCCGCGCCAGCTTCGGCGCGTCTCCAGCGGGCCACGTCGCTGGGACCCGAGGCCTGGCGCACCGCGCGCGCGCGCGCGAGCCGGATTGGCGCGGCGAGATCTTTAAGCATTGTGTTGTGGAGGCACAGCTGATCTGAACCAGTCCGCGTATCTTCGCCGGTCACCCTGCAGTGCTCGCGCACGCAACTTGCTCAGATCCGGGCCCGAAGCGAAGTTCATGTGGTCCCTCGCGGCCGCGGACGCTCGGCGCGACCCGCGCGCGGCCGCTCACAAAACCTTCAGCGCTTTGAGATGGTCGAAAATCAGAATCTTACATTACTTTAGGCCGGGTCCGAAAAGTACCCCAAGTATAAGATGCTATAATAGCAAGTGGTTGATGGTGTACAGAAGACACGCAAGAGGATTCTATAGAAACTCGGACGATTGGTAGCTAAGTGCAAGGCACGCGCGGGCGTCCAAGAGAAATCTGGCCCGACAACGATCGTCAGACATAAAGACAGGGGCGAACAGATGATCAAAAGTGCGGCGAGCCAGGTTGTTTGAGAGTGGAGGACCAAGCACGCCTCCAAGCAATACCGTTTCTGATCACGCAGTGGCCGGTCGAGGCAGTACAACCGAGAATGGTTCGAGGCAGAACTCGATGCGTGTGAAACGAATATGTTTCTGATGCTACATTCGTGGATCAAAAGAGTCCGACGGGGTCAGAACGGGCCGGGCTCAAGCAAGCACAACATCAGGTGCAGGTTATCGGCAGGCAGCAGCCTCAAATTAGGTCTTCTTTGCCCGCAATGCTTCTTTCTAAACCACCGTTTCGAGCGCAGAAGACAGATAGAGAGGAGGCACCGGAGAGGCAACACCTTGACTTGGACGAAAGTCCTGTTCATACAATTTCGTTGCGCTCGCTCTCAGCCTCAGCAATCAAGCCAACCTCATTGCCATCGATGCATGCACAGATGAACGATCCCTAGCAATATCCGGCCCGCGTTTCTTTATGAGAAAGCACTCTGCGCCGCGCTGGTCGCGGGGTGAGCAAAGGATCAAAGGAGGCTTTGAAGAACTGGATGAAAGACGTGCCGAGCAACTCAAAACTTTGGATTGTGCGAGTTCAGCGCAGCAATGATTCCTCTTTGGCATGCTTGTTCTCCGGCTGCATACGCCCGATGAGAGGCGGGATGCGCACGCAACGAACGCGCGCGACAAGGTTCAAAGCACCCATGCCGCCTCAACAGGACAGGACGCATCGTTTTGCCGAATTCAGGTCAGACTGGCGGGGAGTTGAAAGTGACAGGTGCGGCTGACAGGCGCAACAAGTTGCAAAAGTGTCGATTGCGAACCTTCCGATTGGTCAAGGAACTCCCCCGACAGTCAGGAGAGTACCTTTCCGAAAAAAGATAGTCCGAGGTTCCATCTCTGTACAATCATGGAATGCTAGTCCGAGGTTTCCATCTCTGTCCAATCATGGAATGTGCCGGTCTCGATCCGAGCCCGCAAGCAGTTCTCTGATCAAATAGACACGAAATCTTGACAGTTCACTTGGTCAAAAGTTTCTGTAGCAACGAAACTTAGCAAGATGTACCGCGTAGCTTGATGGCGGCATCAAGCGAGAATGAAAGACGCTTCGTTTGAGCTGGGAAAGGTCAGCCCACGAACGTACCGCTCCTTTGTCTTGGCGGTCTACTAGCGCAAGACTCATTGAACGAAACAATCGACGTGGAAATCTAAGGAGGTTTCACTTAGAAATGGCGTATTCGTGGTCAGGAGAACTTCAATGAGCCCACTATTGGAATGAGAAGCCCAGAATCAGTAACGGTCATTGCCGACGTGCTTGCTTGCGTGTCGTGGTATTTGGTAGTCTACTCTTTGAATGCTCTCAATGCAAAGTTCTGTCTTCCTTTCCAAACCCTGCCGTGCACTCTTACAGTGACGGCATCTTATTGCCTAATCAAAACTCAACACAAGGTGCCTTTAGCGTCCCTGGCACTCTCAACACTTCAAATCTAAGGCTTATACTCCTTCCTGTCCTTTTTCTCGTCCTTCTTCCCTTCCTTCCTCTCCTCCTTCCTCTCCTCATTTCTCCCCTCCTTTCTCTCCTCCTTTTTCTCCTCCTCTTTGCGCTCGGGGGAAGGCCCCGGGGCAGGACCAAAGGGCAGCTTCGGGACAGTCGGGGCACGTTTCTGCCTCAGGTACTCGTCAAACTTCGCCTCGGGGGGGATCCCTACGTCCGGCGCCGGAGGCTCGCTGTTGAACGGAGTTCCGGGAAGGAACGGAGTCTCGCCGAAGCGCTCGTCAACCGTGTTTGGGTCAGCGAAACCGGTCTGGTCGTAGGCCGGGTAAACGGTCCCCGGGCGGGTGCTGCGGTAAACCGGGCCGATGGGGGTGGGCAGGTTGATGCGCCCGTTCACACCGTTGGGGAAGAAGCCGCCCTTGCCGTCCTCGGCGCCGAAGGTGAGAATGCTCAGGACCTGCCGTGGGAATAGTCGCATACAAGGTCGTAGGTGAAAGGGTACGAAAAGGCACGAGGCACCGAGGATACGTCGAGGAACGACATTTTGGAAGTCATTAAAAAACTGGGCCCGATGAAGTATGGGGATGCATATGACCATCTGCTGAGTTGGAAATACTTCCAGAATCAGAAAAGATGCTTCGTAAACGAGACACCCTAAAAGAGGATCATTCAAAAGCAAGATGCGCCCGAGTGTCGCGATCCGATCCGGCGATCCCGTCAAATACGACACTACGCCTTCACGAAAAAGTTTTGGACCCAGATCTAGATACACAACCAAGCGGCTCGTTTTTTCGTTCTTTTGATTCAGATTCTTTTGAATGCTGGAAACAGTGGTAGGGTTTGGAAAGAACTGTTACATATAATACCTGCTGAGGCGTGCGCGAGTAAGTAACGCCGTTCGCGTCAGTGGGAACGATGTTGATGCCACCCCTGTAGAACAGTGGCTGGTCGTCATCCTGCATGGGCCAATGAAATGATTCTATTCAGCCCAAAAACGGATTTCTGGGCGACGAAGAAGAACCTCAAGCAGATTGGAAGGCAAGGCGCGAGTTCCAAGATAAGATTGAACAGTTCAATGCGAAGCACAATGAAGGGCGGAAGAAAGAAGGAAGGGACGCAGAAGGAAGGAGAGTATGTGAGAAGAAGATGCTCTCCCATCTCGACGTCTCTGAATCTTCGACGTAGAACTGATCTTCAAAGTGGAAACTTAGGGCTACGGAGCATTGATTGTAGAAGAAACTGAGATTGGTCCGGAAAGCTCACCTGCGGGCCGTCCAGGCTGTCGCGATACTCAGAGATGGCCTCCGCGACTTGGGCAACGGTCAGCTTGAACGGCTCCACCAGCCTGTTGCGCCGCTCCCACAGAATCCACCGCTGCGCGGCCGCCTGGTAGCCCGCCGACACCGCCAGACCCGCGGCGCCGTCGCGCATGGTCGCGTTCTCCATAAGGACCGTGATGCCCTGCGGATCGGTGGAAACGAGTGGGTTGTTGAAAAGGGTTAAGTAATCTTCCGGGTCGGCCAGGATCGGGAGTAACCATGTGAGCAGGTGTGGCATTGGGACCGTGATTCCTATCATCCAGACGATTGCACAAGTTTTTAGAGTGAAAAGCTTTTAGGGTCCGCATCGACCGAAAAGCTGCAAGAGGCTTGCCAGATTCTTTCCGAGCTTTGAGCCAATCGGAAGGTCCAATGAATCCACGTGGTCAGAACTGTACGTACCAGATCAGCACTTCGGCAGGAAAAAGTACCGTACCTCGTATGGCGGTACTACACAGGCAACACTGGAGGCCAAGTAGGATTTCGGTCGACGCGCAACCTTAGTCTGTTTGCACTCACTGACCAATGATTGCAGTACTCTAAATTTGGAGAATTAACCGCCCACCTTATCCCCGGTGGCGCCGATCTCCTCGAGCGACCAGATGGCCAGGAAGATGGTGACGTCATCGAAGTAGGGGTCGAAGAAGGGGGGCCCCGCGTACTTCTTGCCGAACTTGCGCGTGACCGCGTTCCCGAAGTAGTCCGCGAACGCCGTGAAGTTGAGCAGGGGGCACGGGGAGGCCAGATCCGCGATCGCCTCGCGGATCAGCCTGGTTAAGCGACAGGGTTTAGAAACGGGTTAGTAGCTGACAAGACGGAAGCCGCGCGTTTTGAGGGATTGGCTCCGGACCCATTGCCGATGCCTAACCAGCTGCGCTCCCATTTTCCTGACTATCACCAGCACGACTTTCACCAGCATGAAAGATCAGTTCGGCCCACTGAAACTTCGCGAACGCGCGGCCGCCCCCGGCTCGAAGCGCGCGCGCGCGCTCACCTGACGTGGCCCGCCTCGTCGCGGGCGGTCTCCTGTGCGAACGGCAGCAGCTCGGGGGAGATGTTCGCCCGGTTGGCGCCGATCGGGGGGGGGCCTCCGGCGACCAGAACAGGGTCGAGCGGCACTCCAAAGGCCGCCCACGAATCGAAGCTGGCTTCCAGGCACTCCGTGTTGGTCAGGAAGTTGTACAGGTCGAAGTCGTTGTAGCTCTGGCGGGCTGCGGAGCCGGCTGCGCGGAACGGAACAAGCGGAACGGTGAGGGAACGGAGGGAATGGTGAGCGAGAAGCGATCGAAGAATTCAAAAGGCACTCCAGCTTTCTGGCGGCCGTCTTTAAAAGAGCCTCGTTCCTTTTGGGCAAGCCTGACAGGTATGGGAGTGTCTGCACAAACGTTCGCAAACTTTGTCGTGCGAAAGACGTCGAAAGGTTCGGACGCTTTCTTACTTCTCGTTCAGTGACGCTCCGCACTTGTTCGTTCTGCAAAGTTTTCTTCAACAAAAGCCCTCCGATCTGCGAATTCGCTCATGGACCTCTAAAACTCTTCACTCTAACGAGTTTGAAAGCTTAAAACATATCCCGCTACATCTGAAGTGTTGTCAACAAGGAAACGAGACCGGGGGCACTCACTGGCCACTTGAAGGAAGGTGCTCTCGACGAAGGTCCTGTCGGGAAGCACCGTCCCATTGAACACGACCGGCGGCTTTCCGGGCAGCGCGTTCGTCGGCTGCGCCGCGGCCGGCCCCGCGGCCGCGAGCACGAGCGCCGCAGCAAGCATGTACGCGAGCTGCGCGCGCGTGGAAACAGAACGACCCTCAGTTCCGTAATCTCGCATTACATTGAGAATTCGATTCAAAGTGTGTATGCAAGCCAGGAAGTCAATGCAGAATGCAGACGCAAAGCACCTGAAACCAGTTGTACCTTGTGCGAAGCAATAGCGCCCAAATTCTGCTCCATTCCTTTGAGATAAATACGGCCCTGCTAGTGGGCTGACTAGCAAAGACTAAAGAGGGAAGGAAACCTTATCTCCAGGACATCCATTCAGATGCTCATTGACCATAGAAAAGGTGCAGACTCTTCAAAAGAATCCCGGCAGCGTTGAGAAAGATCGCTTGCCACATGCTCCGTGAACCTTTTATAGCAGCCAAGAATTCTCTGACGTCGAGCGACCAACGCGGTCTTGGTCCACTTCTATGACAACAAACAGAAACAGGGTGCCCAGACGAAGATTATTTTTAGGATTGAATTTAGAGAAGCACTCACCGCCATCGCTTCCGCCGCTTCTTCACGCAAACAGAGGAGCCGAGAGAGAGGGCCTTGTGGGGGACCAAAAGATGAGAGTGAGAGGCGGCTGATGGGAATGAAGTGTGTGGGCGCCTGGAAGCAGTATTTGTAGGCCCAATTTCTGCTGGCCTGCCCCAGCGGCTGTTGGGTCTGCTGATAGTCTGAGGCGCCTGCAAGAGTCGAGTGACTCTATGATGCAGACGAGTTGCAGTAAGTATCGCTTATGTGGCGCAGTCAAAGTTGCTCCAATATAGATTGCTAATAGCGGACTAAGTTACACATAAGGGCCTTGAAATTAACGGCCATCTATAATAGATTGCCTGCAAAGCAGCCTCTGCGTTTCGAACACCGGAAAGCATTAATATGTGTGCCCATATGCCCAGTCATGCAATGCTTCTTGTTTACTGTCTCGGGGCATCCGGGCCTGCCCGAATCTCGGGACCGTTTGTATATCTCGAGGCGCCGCTTGGCAGGTTCACAGAAGATTTGTGGTTTATTCTAGTCAGAAAAAATCCACGTACACGTCTCGAGCAACGTCGGAGCATACAGCCGCAACGGTAATTGCCAACAGAACTCTGATGCCCCAGCACATAAATTGATTTCTCATATTACTCATATTACTCATACTTCAGTATCCCACCAGATGCACTATATAGGCAGGGTCATTATGAAGATGAGAATCGCGTCACGAAAGTGCTCAATTCACGAAGAAGTGCACCGTACTTTCCATCATCAAACTTTGGCAAGAGAGCATTCTCGAAGGTTCAGTCGCTCCGCGTCCGGGCCTTTGCAGGCCTTCGCGAGGTTTAGAACTCTGGTTGCCCTTGTGCTTTCAGTATCCGCAGGTTTCAGCGGTCAACCTCGGGAAGCACGTCATCAAATCGATCCGTTTCGATTTCTTTTGGTTGGAAACTCACGCGAGCCATAAAGGCGTCTTTTCACCAGGTCTCAAACCGGTATAAAGAATGAGCTAACTCAGGTGTACACGTGGACTCAGATTCCGCGCATACGGATTGGCTCGGAAGATTTAATCCAGAAGTGGGCTCCATCTCGAACTCACAACCTTGCGTATCTTCATTGCCATGATCAAACGGAAGAGGGGCAGAGCGGGATCTATTTTTATGGGTCCAGAAAGGATTTAGTGACGACAAGATGCCTGAGTCAACTTCATGCAAGGCCTAGGTGCACTGCGGCATGCAGACCATGTCTTTATGGAACAGAATTGTAGTGGAATTGCTTTGCAGAGCAGGCATGCGATGCCACATTAAGGACTGGCATTGACTCGCTCGAAGAGTCAAAGGGACATTGCAGAAGGTATGCAGGGCCAGCCCTTTCATCACAGCCATCCGCTGAGCGCTTTATAGAAAGTATCCCAAAGATGGTCACACCAGACTATGCAAATAGGCTTTGCAGCAAGAGGCGCTCCAACCGCGTACGATTTCGATACAGATCAGAAAGCCCGAGTCTCCTGATTCTGTTCATTCGGCTTTGATATCGGAAAATGCGTCCGCGGATTCCGTTCCGTCCTTTTGAGAGTGAAACAGCAGGCGCTTGATTCATCCAGACTTTTTGAAGCTCGTGCCATAAGTTTTTAACGCCATATACACTGGCCACGTTGCTCTCGGGATTTGAATGCATGAAGAAGCTCATGCTGCGCAATGAAACAGCCGTGTTTGGTTCGCAAATACGCAGAGGGCGCTCTCCCAATCCATAATGGTAGGTGACCATGCGTGGGGGCAGCGCAGCTGAGCAGCTCTTGACCGCGAAGGGCCGAGCTTAGAGCCACATGCCCACAACCGACGAACGAATCCACAACGCACCAGGGATGATATGCGGCGGCAAGTCAGAAAGCGACATTCAGACGAGGTGCGATTTCACAGACGTGCCGACGTGGCTTGTTGCCCCCAGAACCTCTGAGTAATCTGTATCTTGCTAGCCATAAGAAGCCCTGTGGCTCTCAGGAGATGGAACTTGCACACTTGAACTCTCTGGCCGGTTTCCTCATTTTGACGGAGGCCCGAGGTTCCATAATGCTTCCTACTGAACGGCTTTCGAGTGCTCAAGAAGTGCTGACTGCATGAAGCATCAGCATCCTCGATCGTCACAGCCGTACAGCATCTGAGCCGAGACCGTTCAAAGCCTTCAAAGGTCGATTGCACAGGGCTTCCATTCTAGCTTCCTACTGGCCGCGACTCGGACTATCAAACCGGATAATAAATAACGCCCTCTCAGAGCTCCTGTGTGAGAAGATCAAAAGACGTCTGCTTACTTTCGACGTGGCAACTTATATTCCCCGTTTAGGCACTTTGAAGACTCGGTGAGACCCGGAATGATGGGATGGGGTGGAGAAGAGTGGGCACCGCCCGCGAGCTACTATCATTGGGGTATCCTTGATATGAGGTCATCAGTTAAAGTGTGTCACGCGACTCGTCTCGTCCTTGTTTTCAGTCGTGCAATCTCGTGCCGATGCGCTTGGTGCAAAAGCCCAACCCAGAGTCATGCGGACAAGCGCACAATTCAGCACTTCAGCTCCGCAAAAAAGCTTTGAATTTCTTTGGATCACTCTCAAAACTGGTGCAACCAATCAATTGACTTGCAGCTGCAGCTGGATACCTGTAGTCCCTTCGATCTGAGAACGCTTTCGATCATCACCCGACCGGCATCCAGGCATTAGGGAAAGCATTGCAACAAAAGAAGCAAGCTATTGAAGATGGATTCACGTTCGTCAACTCGAGCTTGTAAGTTCAGGGGCGCCCGTCAGAAGTTGCGAGGTTTAAAACTCCCATTTTTGGTCGCGCGCTTCTTGTTACTTCCGCATATGCACGTGACAGTCACATCACAATGCAGGGGAAGACGTCGGTGATGGGCGCCGGCAACCCAGTGCTTCTTTCGGGAATGAGACTTGCCGTCACAGGTCTAAGAGAGCTAGTCGATTAAAAGGGCCGTGGCAAGCATTCAGCCGTTGCGGTATATGCCGGAACAGTTGATTACCCTACCGTCGTTCATCGATGTACTCGGAAAGTACCTCTGAGTTGAGGTTTGCTAGCATCAGTAGCATGGAAGAACTTGTATGCGCGTCCTTAAATGCTCGCACGAACAAAGTGATCGTCACAAACAGCCACTGTATTTCCAGAGCTTTCCATCTTGAGCATTGAAGTTTGCAACCTATCAGTGCTAGGACATGAGTTGTCCAGATGCACAATCTGGACTCTTGGCAAAAGCCGTACACTTACCAGGGTGCGAAAATACAGACTGCCAGCCATATAGTTACTAAGGTGTGGAAAAGCAGTACCCTCCGCACCCAGCCGACACGCTTAGATGGGCGACCGCCCTTTTGCATACACGGCACGTCAGACATCAGGCTCAAATGCGATCTTGAGACGGGTTCATGCCGGCATTCCGAGAAGGCGCTGTGAAGATTCTGTTGCAGAATTTGAGATGAGCACCGCAAAAGTCCGCGTCTCTTCACAGCCATGGGTCTTTTCGTGCACGCTGCTCGTAATCGAAGCTTAACAGCAAAAGGTTTCCGACTTTCGCCCCTCTTTCGGCGCCCGCCATCTGAAGGCCGCCATTGTCGGACACGGTCCCTTCAGAAACACCCGGTCGTTGCTAGCCCGGTTGCTTGTTCCTGGGTAAAATTTCCCCCCCGGAAATGTCCCGCCGACGTCTGATCGATAAGCGCAGCCGTCACACGTAGCCGGCACCGCCGGCCGCCCGGGTGGTGATCGGGGTGCGCTCGATCAGCACACCCGTTGACGTGCGGATCCGAGAGTGAGGTCATACGCATGGCCGCAGTCACAATTTATGGGGCGCTAAGATAAATTCAACGGGATATCAAGGATGATGTATACCTCAACTCCCAGTTTGCAGGTGAGCAGCCCACATCTGTCCTGCTAGGTTGAACCCAGGCAAAGCGGATCGACTTGTCAAATTCAAAGACTCTCCACGCAAGAAAAACATCTGATGGCGCCCAAACCGGGTGAAAGGGGGGTGAAAGTGGGTTTGTCGAACCGACTCGTAGAATGCACACGCGAATCCTTGATGCTCTTTTGGATTAAGACTACACAGATGCCCAATCGTCGCAAGTATTTGAGACGAAAAGTAGGGACCCGTCAATGCTCGACTTCCAAGTTGGGACCCAAGAATCAGGCGACCTTCTTAATATCATACAGTGGACTTCAAAAATTCGTCTTGGGGAGCCTTGAAGCAAAACGTTGGTTGTTGCCTTTAGCTAAATATCATAGGAGAAGTATGACTAATGGAGATAATTGTGTGGTAAAATAGGAGAAAGCTGATGCCCAATCAGCCACCCGTATCGCTCGGAAGCAACCTTCGAACGATAACATAATGCCCACAGCTTGTTCTTGGAAAAACTGAAACGTCAAGCCTTCTCGCAGCCTTTGTTAGAAAGTTTTGTAAAACGTACACGTGCTAGATCATAAGGAGTACTGCAAACTATTTTAGTAGCTTATCTTTGGCATCCAAGGAACGACGAGCTACTGAGCGGAACGGTCAGCCCATGCGTCGGTGCTTTGTCATGGCCGTCGATCAGCAAAACGGCCGACTTTATAATGAACGACGTGAAAGTAAAGCTTTCTAAAGAGTTGGCGGCGTCTTCTTGATGACATAAAAAGACCTGAGCTCACGAATGAAGAGCCCACCAGCTAGTGAGTAATGATCATTGCCGCCAGCTTGCGAACTCAAAAAGTTCGCTACGCAGAGGCTGATACGTTCAGACGTTCTCACACTGTTAGTGAGAAGGAAAGAGAAGCAAATACTGGCAAACCCACTTTCGCATTGGAATATACGGCTGCAAGAATTCCCTTCTGTACTGCTCAGCGTTTTTGCTCTTCAACGCTTTGGGGGCTCTTGTTATTCTGGAGAGTCGAAGCAGATGTTTAACAGTAGCTTGTGTACGCTGAGCCCCGTGCCGTGTTTCCTCCCAGGTGTGGTACATTCTGTGGGCGATTCTCCTCTCTTTCTGGGCCTTCCTCTACCTTTCCCTGGCGACGTGGCCCGAGTTCAAAGCGCAGTTGTGTCGCCCAGGCCCGAAAGAGGATCAAAATGCCTCTGGTTCTGCTCAGTCCATAGAGGAGGCTCCTGCGTCGGCGAGTGACGGGGCTTCGTCTTGTCGTTCAAGGTCGAGTAGAGGGATGCATGCCGGTCCATGAGTGCGGGCGCGCTGGCCCATGAGCGCGCGCGCGCGTGCAGACTGTGAGGTACTGCAGATGCTCGCGCGCAGATTGCGAGGTGGCATCGTGCTTCGGAAACAGCAGTACAAAACCTTTTATGTTCCCTTTATGTGTCCACTCAATCAACGCATGATCTGTGACGAAATTCAACACGAGCTTCGCTGGGCACAGGTAACTAGGAGCGAGGGAGTATCGGTCAGGGCCAGAGTTTTGGAAAAGTCGAGGAAAGGCCCGCAGGCCATCAGTTGATCTCAGTGCTAAAGATGGACCGATGGTACGACAGATTTGGAACAGCTTGTAACTTATAGAGGAATCAAGCACCACTCAACAGAGATTGATGGCAAGCATGACAAAAATCCTTGAACCAATGGAAGATCGACACGCACTAGGTGGCGGTTCGAGTGACTGCCCCGTAACTGCCCACGAGTACGGCAGACCCGCAAATGCCTTGGGTGAGATTGGCAAACGTCGTAAACAATCCTGGGTATGGAAGGTCAGGCCGCCCACAAGCTCTAGTGTAAACGGAATAAACCAGCTTTCTGGTGGGCTTAAACCTTTCTAGGGCGTTACTCAACCATTAGGTTCGCCTTTAAGAGTGTGGACTCTGCTTATGTCCCCTTTACGCACCAGTAGTCTCGAAAAGCATGCAGTAGTTGTTGCACGCACAATCTGCATGTATTCAACGAAGTCAGCCAGAGATCTAGTCCTTTCCCTCTTGGAATTAGCCGACTGAAAGGCGAGTCGTCTAGTTGACCACTTACAGCAATTGAGTGTACTTGTTTACTAGCCTGAAACTCAAGGCGTCACAGAAGCGGATGTCTGGTGACTGAGCTGCGAAAGGTCAGCCCACGCGCACTGCTGTTGACCCATGGCCTTCTATAAGCACAGCCGAATCTTAACGTGGTTCTTTCGGAAAAGTATATTGCAGGTCACTATCCCAGTACTGGCGTCCTGTCAATGAGGAGGTCCATTGAGCACGCAAAGGGAATGGGGAGCCCATTGGTAAGTAGTATTCGCTGCCATCGCCCTACTTTTGGACCTGAAATCTCGGGTCCTACGTACAGAAAAACCTGTCGTGTCGGGCTACTTTGAAACAAAAAACCTGAGTCCTTTGAAAAGGAAGATGATCTGTACGAGCGATAGTAGCCTGTCCTCAACAATTTTTAAGAACTATACAAAGGCATGAGAGCTGCGGGCGCCAGAAAAAAAGCTACATAGAATCCTTGGACCCAACTTTGAGTACGTTTACCGGCATGATCTCTGGCATGTCCTAATACCAGGCTTGCCATCGGAGCCCCTGATTTGAGGAATATGTACAACCACTGGCAGGGCGAGGATAACTGTGCACGGAAGGCCCGCATGGCAGGTGCATGCCTCTCACAGAACAGGTCACAAGCATCATCTAAGTTTAAGACACAACCTCCTGATCCCTTGCGTACCGTCGATTTTGATAGGAGGATTGTACCGGGCCGGGAGGAAAGAGAGATTACTTTGCTGGCTGAGCTGGCAGGTGGAAAAGCTTCGTTATAGACTTGGGAAATCCACCATCGGGAAAATCGATCTATAGGGCATCGGTGGAGCATTCATCAAGTGGCTCGCAATTGATACAGCAGGCTCGGATCCTCGTCTTTGCCACGGCAATCGTGCACTTTTGATCTTCGTGTT